CGTTGGCCAGCACATTGCGCACGCGCGCGGCCACGACGACGACCTCGTTGCCAAGATGGCCGACGCTCTTGTCGAGCGTCGCGCGGCGGATCATGCAGCGGGAGAGCGCCTTGGCCATTCCTGGGCCACTTCTGCGCTTGAAGACGCCGTCGCGCCGCCGCCCCCAGCGGGCGCGTTCCAGCTTCGTGCTGGCGGCGACTAAGAGCGAGGCGCCCTCCCTGCCCCTTATGGCCCCGTGCTCGTAGCCTGGGCGAGAGGCCAGCTCGTCGCCCGCAACTGCGGGCGACCTCTGTCCTGGCGATGCGCGCAGGAGGTCCTCGGTCGCCTGCTCGCGCTCTGCCAGGCCCAGGATTTGCGCGGGGTAATTCTTGAGCTGCATCGTCACACGTTCTGGCAGGGCTTTCTTATTGGGCAACTTGCCCCAGTTCCCGAAGAGAGTGCCAATGTTTCCTGCGTGGCCCGCTTCTTTCTTCTCGCGCCAATGCTGCAACCTGTCGGGGCGCAACTGCGCCCTGTGAATTGGCGAAGTTGCGCGGGCAACGCGCGCCTGCGCAGGAGCGCGGGCCGCCCGCGCGCAAGCGGCCGCAACTGCGGCTGCTTCTGCTTCTTCTTCTCCGTGCTGGTATTCCTCCTCCTCCGGCCCACAGCCAAACGTGCTGCCCCCTCTTTCGGCGTCGCCGCTGACCCCTGACGACGCGCCCCCCCCGTCGTCTTCCCCTCCCGCCCAACCGCGAGAAGAAGAGCTGCGCCTTTCCGCAGATGCAGACGGCTCTCCGCCCACCTCTCTCGATTCTCTTTCCGCGCCCCCCCCCCCTCCCCCCTCTTCTTGCTCTCTCACTCCCCCCGCCTCCTCTTTCCCATATTCCGTCTCCCGCTTCTGCTCCCCCCCCCTCGTCCCCTCATCTCTCACCCCCCGCCCCCCCCCCCCCCCCTCTGCAGCTGCCCCCCCCTGCCTCCGCGGGCGAAGCAGCGCAGCTCTACTCCAAGGGGAGGCACTTGGCGCCGCCGCAGCTCAGTCAAAGAAGCCCCGCGCGCTTTCGCGAGCAGCTCGCGCTCGCTAGTGCGCACCATGACAGAGAGCCCGCAACTACGAACCAAAAACTGACGCCAGGGCAATACATCACGGAACAACCAGCGCCACTTCTCCCTCGAGTGCTCTTCGGGCTTCTGAAGAGACGAACACCGAGAACGCGACCACCTCTCCGCCCGGGTGCCTCTGAACGACGCCCTGGGCCCAGCCTGCGAACGCAGCGGGCCACTGTTCCACGTGGCCCTTGAGCATCCTCTCACCCCATGCCTCGTTCCACCAACCGAACTCGCCCCGCTGGGCTGGAGCCAAACCTCGACCCAGGCGGGATAAACGATCAAGAACTTGCCGCCATGTTCTCGCGGCCTGAACGCCGCCGCCCCCGGGGCGACCACTCCCACTCCCCAAACCTCGCAAAGAGAACGCGCGAATCGCATGGTTTGCTGCCAGCGTTTCCTCGACGCTCGCCAAAAAAACTTTGCTCATCCGCCAGGATCGCCTTCGCCCCCTTGAATTTCCTTTTGTTCACCTCAATGGCGGCCCCTGTTTCTCGTGATTCAGCGATCTGTCTGCGCCCCTTCCCCTCCTCCGCGGACCCCCGGCCCCTTCTGCCGCGAGAGCGCGGCCAGCGCGGCAGGATCCTCTGCGCTCAGCAACCGCGCCCCCCCCCCCCCGCCAGGGCGGGCCCCTGCTCGCTGCGCGGCCTCCGAGGAAAAGCGCACGCGCGAGCGACGCGCCGTCGCGAGCGGCGCCAAGCAAGAGGGCGGCCGCAGCAAACTACGCAGCAGAGGCTTGCGTCGAGAAAAGCTGCGCCGAGAAACGTACGCCGCGAGCAACGGCGCCTAGCAGGCGGCAGCTCAGAAACCGACGCCGGCGGCAGAGGTGCCAAGCCTAGAGCAGCGGCGCCGCGCACTGGTCACAGTCCGACGAGGCCTGCTCCTCCACGATCGCGTCGGCCGCCTGGGCCCGCTGCTCGTCGAGCGATGCATCGACGACGAATCCCGAGCTCAACGTCCTTATTGCGAGCTGCGTCCTGCGCCTGAGCAGCCTGATCCTCTCGGCGAGGAACTTGTTACGTTTCCTCTCTCGGGCGAACTTCCACGCCGTGGGCCTCCGATTCTTCTTCCCGGCAGGCGAGAAGCCGACAAGCACCCGAATGATCTTGTCGGCTGGCAGGGGGCCGCGTTCCCATGAAACTGAAGCGAAACCAACCTCGACCCAAAGCGGCGACGGAAAACGCTGAAGACATGGAGCGCACGGTCGGTTGCATGCGAAAAAAAAACATCTGGACGCAAACAGTAGTGAAGGTGGAGACTTCGGGATGCCTCTCGCGCCGATCTAGCTCGGGACCTGGGCGGCGGCCCTCGCTTCACCCCCCCCCGGCCCCCAGGGGCCGCCCCCCCCGGCCCCCGGGGGCCCTCTCGGGGGTCGCGCGAAGATCTCTCGAGGCTCGGAGAAGCGCCCGGATGGGGGGGGGGGCGGCAAGACGGCCCACATACATTTGGCATTTGGGCGCAATGCAACGTGGGCACCAACCATCAGCGGCCCCCCACACAAACATCTTGGTCGGTTTGATTCCATTTGTTTGGTCAACCCTCTGGTGCACGACCCGCCCCTGCTTCTACCCCCCCCCCCCACCACCCCACCCGCCCACCCCCACCCCGCCCCCCGCCCCGCCCCGCCGCCACCACCACGCCCACCACCCCCGCCCCCCAGCCCCCCCCCCCCACCCACCACCCACCCACCCCCCACCCACCCACTTCCCGGCGCGTCGCAAAGAAAGGGCCGTGACCCGTCAGCAGCGCGGGGCACCGCTTGGCCTGGAATCGCCGGCGACATTTCTTGAGCGTCAACGGCTGGTCCGAACCAGCATCAACAAATCCAATCGCGCCATTCGCCTTGGTAACGGCATCTGGAAATCCGCCGATCCGGCGTGTGAGTTTCAAAGAATCTCAGCTACAGCCTCGAGGCTGAGCCTCAGCCTCTGGGGGGTTTGCCGGGGTGGCTCTGCCGGGGCAGGGGGTGGGTGGGGGGGGGGGGGGGGGGGTGCGAGTTTCCGGCGGATGCGTCTTTTGACACTCCTCACAAGGACCGTGGCCTCCGAGGGGGCTCCGAACTCGAGTACCACCCCTCCCGCGCCAAGAGGCTCCGAGGAGGCCTCCAAGAAGCCCCACGGGGCGCAGACGAGGCCCCCAAGAAGCCCCAAGAGGCTCCCAAGAGACCCCCAAGAGGCCCTCTAGTGGCCCCAAGAGGCCCAAGAGGCCCCCAAGAAGCCCCAAGAGGCCCCCAAGAGGCCCCCAGAAGTCCCAGCCAACCACGAGACCCCAACCAGCATCCATGAGGCCTCTGACCCACCACCCGCGCGCGGTGGCGGGATAGGCCGACGGCCACTGGCGAAATGCTGAGTGAGAGGAGGGGGGAAAAAAGAGAGGAGGGACGAGGGCGAAGAAGGATCACATCAGTCGGAGCGCCCCGGATCGGCGGCACCGGCCGAAGGCCGCTACAATACATCCCCTGGGGCCCTGGTTCAAACGACGGTTCGAGGTGGCGCCCGATATCGAAATCAGCGACGGGGCCACGGGGGAGGGTAAAAGCCAAAGCACGGGAGGCACCGCGAATGCGAAAATTGCATACCATGCAACTCTCGGGCGCCATCTCCCCCCCCGCCCCGCCTGCGCTCGCTCCCCCGACCCCCCTCCCCCCTGGCCCCCGTCCCGCCCCCCCCTTTCGCCCCCTCCCCACTGTTGCGCCCGCCCCCCATCGCTCCCCCTCCCCCCCCCCCCCGCCCGCACCCCCCCCCACCCCCGCCCCCGCTATATATTCGCTCGCCCTGTGGAGGGAGGCGGGGGGGAGACAGTCATCGCACCGCGCGCGGCGGTCGCCGCTGTGAAGGAAGGCGCCGTCGGCGGGAAAAAAAAAAGCCCCATTGACCACCTTGCAAATACCCCCGCTGCTATGACGGCAGCTCGCGCAGGAGACCCCCCCCGAGAACAGCGCCTCGAATGAGCTCCAGTCTAGGATCTAGAACGGTCGAAGACTCCGTCATCGTCGCCCATCGCGAGCGCGACAGGCAATCCAGCGCGCTCAAACGGGGCGCTGCATTAATCGGATATGCGATGGCATCTCCTCGAGAAGAGTTGGCTGCAAGCGGCGCCGAGGCTGCGACGGCGAGGGGCGCGTGCCGCGCCCCGCGGCCGACCCAGCGATTGCGGTAAAACTTATCATCTGAAAATTGTTTCTACACCTCCCATCCAAGCAGGCCCCCTCCGCCCCCCGCCCCCCACCCCTCCCTCCCCCCGCGCCCCTTCATCCTTCTCCGAAAAGGGCCCATCTGGGCCGCCCATGACCGCGGTAGCTCACCCGCAAATTGCATCATGTGTTGAGCCATTGGTAGCGCCACAGGATGAGTGCAACACTGGTCGGGGCGCAGGCTGCGCCATAAGATACACCGCGCGCTACTGGATAACAATGCTGCGCCATACAGCCGAACACTAGTCTGGATAAGATATGTTAGCGAGATGGCGAGTTACGCATCTGGATGAAAACGATGACCCAACAACGCAGGAGGCATGGGACCGCGCCATAGCTACGACCGAAAACGTGGCAGGCTACTCCCGAACACTCTGCAGGTTCCCACTTCTTTTCACAACTGATTGAACATGTAGCCTACGCGGCTGGCAAGACATGTCGCCCGATCGCGCGTGGCAGAGAGGCGCAGCACAGCACGGCCCAGGAAGAGCTGCGCGCAAATCTCTGCCGACATCGCTGGCCCCCCCCGAACCTCGCACAGGAAATATCAGGCCCGAGCCGAGGAGGTGTGGCACTTAGGGGGCACGGTAGCGCTACAGTCGAAGGATGGACGTAGATGCACCCCCTCGCTCGGTCCGAGATTATCTGGACAAACGGCGAGCTAGCGCCTGGCCGTGCTTGTTCCAAGGAAAATTTGCGCAGCCACTCCCACTCGCTCGAATAATCACTTAGGCGTCGACGGCTCGTCGATCTTCTGCTGCCCCAGCTGGCTCGCCAACGCCAGCCTGGCCTCGTGCTTCCTCTCGGAGCGGACCGAGGGTGGCTTCGCGCCTGCCAGGCCCACCAACGGCACCGCGGGCAGCGACGATGCTGGCGAGGTCAATCCGCTGGAGCTCGCTGCGCCGCCCATCGGCGACGCCCCCGAGGCAGCATTCGACGCAGCAGCGGTCTTCGCAGGGGCGCCGGCGAACTCCGACGCCGAGACCTCGTCGTTGGGCGCCGCGACGCTGGCGACCTCGGAAGCGTCCAAGACGCCCTCCGGCGACTCGCAGAGCTTGTCGGGCTCCTTCTTCTTCTCCTGCGGGCTAGCCGGCGGCGCCAGCAAGGCCACCGGCGGGGGTTGACGATTGGCCGGAACGTCTCCTCGATGCTTGCACGCAGCGGCTTCGCGGCCGCCTCAGAAAAAGACCGCGCGGGGATCTCGCTCCACGGCTTGCTCGGGTCGAGCGCCACGGGGTCGTTGTAGAGCCAATTCAAGTCGATAGAACAGGTCGCTGTGACTCTCGTGCCACCTGTGATCAGACCAGAGAATCAATAACTTTCACGCGCGCGCATTGGCGCTCGCGGCGAAGGACGTCATTCTGGCACGGCGGCATCAGATAGAAAGGCCCAGAACTCGAGAAGTCGGCGGCGCTGTTGACGCCCGCGACACTATGGTTCACTGCGTTGATCTTCTCGGCACGTTCTACGTAGACCGCCAACCAAGTGGACTTTCAATGGCCCGGACTCGCCCCCAGGCAACGCGGGCGTGAGACGATAGAACAGCATCCTCAGAGTATTCGCATCCTTCTTGCACATGTCGGTCACGACGCTTTTTGCGCATCCCACGGCTGCCGGGACATGGTGCTGGATGAAATTCAACGGCGCGCGCTTCGAAGTCTTGCCCGCCACGTCAGCGGGGAAGTACTCAGAGGTCGCAGCGTCGCGCACTTCGCACTTCGAGGTCTCGAGCAAAGCCATGCATTTCATTGGGTCCTTCTTGATGGCATCGCTGAGCTCCTTCGCTGACTGGCGATGCTCGAGCGAATCCTTCGACGACAGGAGGGGGCCGATCTCTTTGCCCATCTTGCCGCGCTTGGCCGCGACACTGGCTTCGGTGGGGCCTCTCTTGGAGGCCGCGTCCGAATGGGGGGGGGGGGCCGAGCAGCGAGGGCGCCTGCTAGAAAGCCAAAATGGTTGCGGGGGGCCACCGTGACGCGCTGTGGGGAAATAAAACGCAAGTGAGATCGACGCGGTGCCCCGAGGTGCCCCGCGGCATTTCATGGCGTCCTACGGTGCGCCGTTGACTGAGATCGACAGCGAGATCGACAGTGGGGCCGATAGTGAAATTGAGAAATGCTCCGCGGCGCCCCGCGGCGCCCCCGCCAAGACCTCATGGGGGGGTGGGGGGCGAGAGCAGATGCCCCCCGGTGGTCGAATGCGTCCTCGGCAAGCCTGCGCCAGGGAGATCCCGGGGTGGCCTGATTTTCTGCCGGGGGCGCCGCGCCCGAGCAAAGGAACGCGCCCCAGACAAGCCGACGACGACCCCAGTTGTTGCCGAAATGCACGCTGGCGCTGGGACGGGGCGATAAGGGGGGGGGGAGGACGGGGGCGCCCGCGTGCATTAATCGTGCCCGACGCATTGCTACATGTGTTGGAACCTTGTTCATTGACTATTTGAAGGGGGCGAATGAGGATGATGATGGTCATGATGACGCAGGTGGCGATGGTTGCGAGCGCGCGAATGGTGGTCGGGCGGCGCGGGCCACAAGCGCGTCGCCGTGACGTCTGCGACATCGACGGCGACGGCGGCAGTGGCGACGCGAGCGCAACGGTCAAGAAACGCACCAACGCTGGTGGATAAAATTGCTGCTTGGGGCCGCATGGCAGCGCTGTGCAATCGCAATCAGACACGGGGCGCGGTTGATTGCGAGGCGGTGGCACGGAAGGGGTTGCCCCCGCGTCGCGGGTCGCCGTAGCAGGCGCCGATGCAAAGTGCGCGGGGGGCGGCGCAGACCTGCATGAATTTCTCAACTGCCGCTTAGATGGCCATTCTCGCGCTGGCCCAATATAGTTGCGGCGCCAGTGCACGCGCGCTCGCGATGGTCCAACGCAAAGGGCAGCATGCTGCAAAAGTGCCGCTTTCGTGACCCAAGTTTAGTTTAGTGTTTTCTTTTCTCTCGATGATAATGAGCCCTGGAACGACGGTTGCTTCTCGACCTTCCACGGAACGCAATCATCAACGGAGAGCGGGGGATTGGACGCCTGGCATTCATGCGAGACGGCATCGCTTCACAAGAGGCCCTTCGGCTTCTTGTATCACGGGGCAAGCATTGGCATCTCACAGACTTCCCTGCAATCTGGATGCCTGCATGGGTGAATCTTGTTCCATGCTGACGTCGCCCAGTGCTCTCGGGCGTTTCGCCGCTGGGGTCTCCCCAGCGTTATCTCTGACGTGTGCTGTATGGGACATTCCGATCGGCTGTTCTTCTCGTGGCCGACACACAATTCAGAACTGACGTCGTCATTGTCAATAATGGCTGAGAGGTCGCGAACCAAACTATCATCCTGGTCCATGGTTGAACCAATGCCGAGGCGCATTCCTGCCCTGAAACAAATGGCTCATCAATGAACGATATTGCAAGGACGTTCGGGGTAAACTGGCCCACCAAGTCGGATGCGCCATTGCCTGCGGAATCTTAAGCAGTTGCAGATTGTACGATCGGGCTGGGGTCTCCATTCACGTCCACTTGCGCACTGGATGCAACCAATGCGTTTTCTGGCTGTAACCAATTACTTGCCAGAGGAACGAATTCCCGGCAAATGTGGAATGCACCGAATATGTTATCTTGGTACCACTACAGGTTTGGACGGGACATACCGACATGGCTTCAACTTTCCGGTAAGCCGATAAGAAAAAAGGATATGTAAACGCGGGATAGGAGACGATGACGCAGCGACAATCCAAGACTCTCATTTGTCGCTGGCGTGGGGCCGGCCCGCGGTACAAGCCCAAAATCCTATACACCGACATGATGTCTTGAATCCAAAACCACTTACGGTATAATATAACCCAGAAGTGGTAAGCGGCGGTTGCGGCGCAGAGACGTCAAGTGAAAAAGTGAAACAACTCCTCGTCCTCTTTCTCCTTTTGCCCCTCCTGCACACGATCGTCTTGAACATTTGAAAAAACTTCGCGGATTTGGGGCGGGTCGTTTTCAAAATATGGTTTTCGCTACAGTACCGTTCGCATTCGTTCTAAAAAAATGCCGGATGTTCACGGATTGAGGGCGTGCATGTTTGAAAATGTGGTTTTGGCCTTGGCGCCGCGCACATTCGTTTGAGATAGTTGTAACAGGTCTACGGATCCCAATGACTAGCGAACAGCAAATGGCGTTGTAGAAGGATTCAACATTCGAAACAATTACGCTGATTGACGGTGGGGAATTCCAATGAGCGGCGTTCTGGTCCGATTCCAGATCGTCCAAACGCAACAAACCAAGTTGATCCGTTTGCGTTGGAGTCCAGAGAATAATGTTTTGGCACGTTTCAGGATCTCCAAACGGTTGTCTCCCAACGGGGCAGTTCCTTCAGTGGAAACGAACCGTAGGGACCTATGAAAAGAAGTTTGTGAGGCAGGGCTCATTCCAACATCGTTGGTGGGTCTTGGGTTTTCACACAGGTCCCTCATCCTTTTCTTCCTCCTTCTCCTCCTCTTCCTCCTCCTCCTCTTACTCCTCCTCCTTCTGCTCCTCCTCCTGATCCTCCTCCTGTCCTCCCCCTCCTCCTCCGCCGCCGCCTCCTCCTCGCCCTGTGTCCTCCACCTCCACGAGGAGGAAAAACGACGGCGAGCGGCGACAGCGACGGAGACGACGACAAAGACGGCGGCGGAAAACGCACGCGGCCTCAGGCAAAGAGGGGTCACGAGGTCCTGGGTCGAGTCCTGCGGGCGGACCCACAGGCTGGGGAGGGATGGGTCGGCGAGGAGGCCCCAGAACCTATCAACTTGCAAAATTGAAGCACCGGGACCTCTGAACCTGAATTCTAGACCAGGTTTGACGCGCAATTCTCACAGGTCTGCAGGGCCAGGGGATGCCTTCTCGCGTCGTACAAAAAAACACCGGCCTGGGGCCAAATGTCCTCCTTTTTCGGACCCCACGTCCGAGCTCCACGGCCGTCGAAGAACGGCTCAGCATCATCGGGGATCCAGTGGCCCGGGTCAATCCAGACCCGGGTCGACCAGGCGTTGCAGGATCCTGCGAAACCCTGCTGGGTCTTGCACCCAAGCCCGGGCCAATGCAACCCTAGCTCTACAGGATCCTGCAAAATCCTGCGCTCGGCATGACCCCCGTTTGCACCGAGGGTCCCCCCCACAGTCGAGGGACCCAGGGGGGCCCGAATCTCCGAGACACCCCGAATCGCCAGGCCAGGGCCAACCTCGCCCTGGCTGTGCCTGCGCCTCCCCAGGGGGAAAGGGCGCGGCAGAGGCGCGGTGGGAATGGCAGCGGGGGCGGGGGGGGGAAAGCGGGCCAAACAGGAGGATGCGGGGGTGGGGTAGAGGGAGGGGCGTGGAGGAGGGTGTGGGGAGACGAGGAAAGGAGGAGGAGGAGGAGGAGGAGGAAGAGGAGGAGGAGGAGGAGGAGAAAGAGGAGGAGACGAGGAGACGAGGAGGAGGTGACGAGGAGGCAAAGAGGAGGTGAGGAGGAGGCAAAGAGGAGGATAAGGAGGAGGAGGAGGAGGAGGAGGAGGAAGAGGAGCAGGAAAAAAAGGAGGACGAGGAGGAGGACGAGGAGGACGAGGAGGCACAGGACGAAGAGGAGGAGGAGGAGGAGGAGGAAAGCTCCCCCCGTAACGTCCGTGACGGGGGCGGGTCGACCCCGTGGAAGGGCAACGGTAAAGTGAGCGGGCCCCGCTGGGAGGCGGACGTGGGCGCCGGACGACGACGACGACGACGACGACGACGACGACGACGACGACGACGACGGCCACTTCTGCATGCGTCTGAGGGTTATCCGATGCCTGTCAGCACCACGCAATGCCTGTGCGTACGGCGCACTAGCTGTGGCCCCCATCATCCCCGTACGTTCGGTACCGTGAAAATGGCGTGCGGGGGGGGGGGGCGGGGGGCGACCCCCTCTCACGGACCGTCGGGCCCAACGAATAAAAAACAATGTATCATGCATCCGCTACTTCCTCCACTCCCCACGCTCCTCCTTCCCCCACTCGCTCCTCTTCACGTCCTCTGCTCTCAACCACTGCCTTTTCCAAGGGATCTCCTTGCAGCAAAGATCATTATAATTACGGTAACACTGTCGCCCCGCTGTTGCCTGGGCCTGATCGAGTGTGAAGATCTCGCGCCCAGATGGCCGCCAACGCCGGCGCCGCCACCTTCCAGCGCTGGTTGCACAAATCCGCAGGTCGCCGCGCGACGCCTTGTCGAAGTGAAGCTACGTGCAATCCGTCAGCAAATCAGGCCACGTCGACAACGCCAAAATGGGGCCGACGGCCTCGATCTCGTGAGTTGCAATGCCCCGGAGCCTCCACTCACGCCACCTGGACAACCACTTGGGGGTCGCAGCAATGGCCGCGAGCTGCGGCTGGAAGTCGCTGTCGCCGGGCTTCCGAATGCCCGCAGCCACCTTCCCCGTGCCCTTGACGAAGAAAGGCCATTCGCTCAGGTCGAACGGCACCTCGCGCTCCTCCTGCCCCTCGACTGCCGTCTTGAATCGCTCCAAGGACGACCGGGGGGGGCGCCGGCAGCCCCGCCCGACCCTTGTCGTTAAGCTGGCGTCGTCTCAGCGGCGCCAGGACTGCCGAGCCGCGGCGGCAGAACAGGAACGACCGCGCCCATCATGCCCGGCAGAACCATGCCGAGCGCGCCGTCGACGCTCTCTCAATGCGCGACGCGTCGTCAGCGTAGCGATGCATGGTGCGACGAAAAATGGCGCGTGATGGCGCGCGTGGTCGCTGGGTCCCTGACGCAAGTGAGCTGCGATCCAGCCCCGCCAAACACCTGCCCCAAGTTACGCTACAGCGCTGGCCTCCTCGAGCCAGGATGCCACTCCGAAAGCAAAGGATGTTGAGAC